TGTATGTGTGTGTGTGTGTGTGTGTGTGTGTGTGTGTGTGTGTGTGTGTGTGTGTGTGTGTGTGTGTGTGTGTGGTGTGTGTGTATGTGTGTGTGTGTGTGTGTGTGTGTGTGTGTGTGTGTGTGTGTGTGGTGTGGACCAGGTGACCGTGAGGAGCCATGTTTGTGGATGGAGGGAGGGAAGGAGATATGGAAGGAGGGACATAAGAAGGGAGGAATTAACGGAGCCTGGAGAGGTGTACCAGCGGACATACTTAGTCCTCCTGGTTTGCCTCCCCCTTCTTATCCTTCAGCCTTTGCTCTTCCTTCAGCCCCTGCTCTTCCTTCAGCCCCTGCTCTTCCTTCAGCCCCTGCTCTTCCTCCAGCCCCTGCTCTTCCTTCAGCCCCTGCTCTTCCTTCAGCCCCTGCTCTTCCTTCAGCCCCTGCTCTTCCTTCAGCCCCTTCTCTTCCTTCAGCCCCTGCTCTTCCTTCAGCCCTTCTCTTCCTTCAGCCCTTTCTTCCTTCAGCCCCTGCTCTTCTTCAGCCCCTGCTCTTCCTTCAGCCCTGCTCATCCTTAGCCCCTGCTCTTCCTTCAGCCCTGCTCTTCCATTAAGCCCCTGCTCTATCCTTCAGCCCTGCTCTTCCTTCAGCCCTTCTCTCCTTCAGCCCCTGCATCTTCCTTCAGCCCCTGCTCTTCCTTCAGCCCCTGCTCTTCCTTCAGCCCTGCTCTTCCTTCAGCCCGCTCTTCCTTCAGCCCCTGCTCTTCCTTCAGCCCTGCTCTTCCTTCAGCCCCTGCTCTTCCTTCAGCCCCTGCTCTTCCTTCAGCCCCTGCTCTTCCTTCAGCCCCTTCTCTCCTTCAGCCCCTGCTCTTCCTTCAGCCCCTGCTCTTTCCTTCAGCCCCTGCTCTTCTTTCAGCCCCTTGCTCTTCCTTCAGCCCCTGCTCTTCCTTCAGCCCCTGCTCTTCCTTCAGCCCCTGCTCTTCCTTCAGCCCCTGCTCTCCTTCAGCCCCTGGTCTTCCTTCAGCCCTGCTCTTCCTTCAGCCCCTGCTCTTCCTTCAGCCCCTGCTCTTCCTTCAGCCCCTGCTCTTCCTTCAGCCCCTGCTCTTCCTTCAGCCCCTGCTCTTTCCTTCAGCCCCCTGGTCTTCCTTCAGCCCCTGCTTTTCCTTCAGCCGCCCTGGTCTTTCCTTCAGCCCCTGCTCTTCCTTCAGCCCCTTGGTCTTCCTTCAGCCCCTGCTCTTCCTTCAGCCCCTGCTCTTCCTTCAGCCCCCTGGTCTTCCTTCAGCCCCTGCTCTTCCTTCAGCCCCCTGGTCTTCCTTCAGCCCCTGCTCTTTCTTCAGCCCCCTGGTCTTCCTTCAGCCCCTGCTCTTCCTTCAGCCCCTGCTCTTCCTTCAGCCCCTGCTCTTCCTTCAGCCCCTGGTCTTCCTTCAGCCCCTGGTCTTCCTTCAGCCCCTGCTCTTCCTTCAGCCCCTGCTCTTCCTTCAGCCCCTGCTCTTCCTTCAGCCCCTGGTCTTCCTTCAGCCCCTGCTCTTCCTTCAGCCAATGCTCTTCCTTCAGCCCCCTGGTCTTCCTTCAGCCCCTGCTCTTCCTTCAGCCCCTGCTCTTCCTTCAGCCCCTAGTCTTCCTTCAGCCCCTGCTCTTCCTTCAGCCCCTGCTCTTCCTTCAGCCCCTGCTCTTTCCTTCAGCCCCTGCTCTTCCTTCAGCCCCTGCTCTTCCTTCAGCCCCTGGTCTTCCTTCAGCCCCTGGTCTTTCCTTCAGCCCCTGCTCTTCCTTCAGCCCCTGCTCTTCCTTCAGCCCCTGCTCTTCCTTCAGCCCCTGCTCTTCCTTCAGCCCCTGCTCTTCCTTCAGCCCCTGCTCTTCCTTCAGCCCCTGGTCTTCCTTCACCCCCTGCTCTTCCTTCAGCCCCTGCTCTTCCTTCAGCCCCCTGCTCTTCCTTCAGCCCCTGCTCTTCCTTCAGCCCCTGTTCTTCCTTCAGCCCCTGCTCTTCCTTCAGCCCCCTGGTCTTCCTTCAGCCCCTGCTCTTCCTTCAGCCCCCTGGTCTTCCTTCAGCCCCTGGTCTTCCTTCAGCCCCCTGGTCTTCCTTCAGCCCCTGCTCTTCCTTCAGCCCCTGCTCTTCCTTCAGCCCCCTGGTCTTCCTTCGGCCCCTGCTCTTCCTTCAGCCCCCTGGTCTTCCTTCAGGCCCTGGTCTTCCTTCAGCCCCCTGCTCTTCCTTCAGCCCCTGCTCTTCCTTCAGCCCCTGCTCTTCCTTCAGCCCCTGCTCTTCCTTCAGCCCCTGGTCTTCCTTCAGCCCCTGGTCTTCCTTCAGCCCCTGCTCTTCCTTCAGCCCCTGCTCTTCCTTCAGCCCCTGGTCTTCCTTCAGCCCCTGCTCTTCCTTCAGCCCCTGCTCTTCCTTCACCCCCTGGTCTTCCTTCAGCCCCCTGCTCTTCCTTCAGCCCCTGCTCTTCCTTCAGCCCCTGCTCTTCCTTCAGCCTCACCTCCCCACCTCCACACCTCCCCACCTCCCCACCTCCACACCTCCCCACCTCCACACCTCCCCACCTCCACACCTCCCCACCTCCACACCTCCCCACCTCCACACCTCCCCACCTCCCCACCTCCACACCTCCCCACCTCCCCACCTCCACACCTCCCCACCTCCCCACCTCCACACCTCCCCACCTCCCCACCTCCACACCTCCACACCTCCCCACCTCCCCACCTCCACACCTCCCCACCTCCCCACCTCCCCACCTCCACACCTCCACACACCTCCCCACCTCCACACCTCCACACCTCCCCACCTCCACACCTCCCCACCTCCACACCTCCCCACCTCCCCACCTCCACACCTCCCCACCTCCACACCTCCCCACCTCCCCACCTCCACACCTCCACACCTCCCCACCTCCCCACCTCCACACCTCCCCACCTCCACACCTCCACACCTCCCCACCTCCCCACCTCCCCACCTCCACACCTCCCCACCTCCCCACCTCCACACCTCCCCACCTCCCCACCTCCCCACCCTCCACACCTCCCCACCTCCACACCTCCCCACCTCCCCACCTCCACACCTCCCCACCTCCACACCTCCCACCTCCCCACCTCCACACCTCCACCCCTCCCCACCTCCACACCTCCCCACCTCCCCACCTCCCCACCTCCCCACCTCCCCACCTCCCCACCTCCCCACCTCCCCACCTCCCCACCTCCCCACCTCCACACCTCCCACCTCCACACCTCCCCACCTCCACACCTCCCCACCTCCCCACATCCACACCTCCCCACCTCCACACCTCCCCACCTCCACACCTCCCCACCTCCCCACCTCCCCACCTCCACACCTCCCCACCTCCCCACCTCCACACCTCCACACCTCCCCACCTCCCCACCTCCCCTCCTCCCCACCTCCACACCTCCCCACCTCCCCACCTCCACACCTCCACACCTCCACACCTCCCCACCTCCCCCACCTCCACACCTCCCCACCTCCACACCTCCCCACCTCCACACCTCCACACCTCCCCACCTCCCCACTTCCCCACCTCCACACCTCCCCACCTCCCCACCTCCCCACCTCCCCACCCCCACACACCTCCCCACCTCCCCACCTCCACACCTCCACACCTCCCCACCTCCACACCTCCCCACCTCCCCACCTCCACACCTCCCCACCTCCACACCTCCCCACCTCCACACCTCCCCACCTCCCCACCTCCACACCTCCCCACCTCCACACCTCCCCACCTCCACACCTCCCCACCTCCCCACCTCCACACCTCCCCACCTCCACACCTCCCACACCCCACTCCCCACCTCCCCACCTCCCCACCTCCACACCTCCCCACCTCCTCACCTCCCCACCTCCCCACCTCCACACCTCCACACCTCCCCACCTCCCCACCTCCACACCTCCACACCTCCCCACCACTCCACACCTCCCCACCTCCCCACCTCCACACCTCCCCACCTCCACACCTCCCCACCTCCACACCTCCCCACCTCCCCACCTCCCCACCTCCACACCTCCACACCTCCCCACCTCCCCACCTCCCTCCTCCCCACCTCCACACCTCCCCACCTCCCCACCTCCACACCTCCCCACCTCCACACCCCCCACCTCCACACCTCCCCACCTCCACACCCCCCACCCCCCACCTCCACACCTCCCCACCTCCACACCTCCACACCTCCCACCCTCCCCACCCACCTCCCCACCTCCCCACCTCCACACCTCCCCACCTCCACACCTCCCCACCTCCACACCTCCACACCTCCCCACCTCCACACCTCCCCACCTCCCCACCTCCCCACCTCCACACCTCCCCACCTCCCCACCTCCCCACCTCCCCACCTCCACACCTCCACACCTCCCCACCTCCACACCTCCACACCTCCCCACCTCCCCACCTCCACACCTCCCCACCTCCACACCTCCCCACCTCCCCACCTCCCCACCTCCACACCTCCCCACCTCCACACCTCCCCACCTCCCCCACCTCCCCACCTCCCACACCTCCCCACCTCCACACCTCCCCACCTCCACACCTCCCCACCTCCCCACCTCCCCACCTCCCCACCTCCACACCTCCCCACCTCCCACACCTCCCCACCTCCACACCTCCCCACCTCCCCACCTCCACACCTCCCCACCTCCCCACCTCCCCACCTCCACACCTCCCCACCTCCCCACCTCCCCACCTCCACACCTCCCCACCTCCCCACCTCCACACCTCCCCACCTCCACACTCTCCAGGTGGAGACTGTATAAAACACCGACAAAGTGAAGATTAAGACACATGTGCAACAGTTGGGTATGTTTATGGATGAAAAGTTTCTCCTGCACGTTAGTCTTCTTCAGTCAAATAAAGAGGCAGCAGTAGTGATGAAATAAAGATGATGTAATTAGTCTATCAACCTTGGAGAAAAAGTATTTGAGGTGGTCAGTCCCGGGTCTAGGGCCATGCTACGGTAGTAACACAGAGGTGCTTGTGTACATATTACAAAGGGTGTAACAACTAATGTAATTATCTTGTTTGTGTTGCAGAGGTGTCACAACTAACGTCGCCCTCAGAGGTGCCAGTGGAGGGTGACCCTCACACCGAGGTGGACCTCGAGGTGTCAGAAGCTGGCAAGGAATACTTCATACTTAATGGTCGTCGTCTGCAGCTGGTGAAACCGCTGGACCGTGACAACCAGCTGTCTACTCTCAGGTTCCAGGTGAGTCTACACGCCTCAGGTGACAGGTGAGGCTACACACCTCAGGTGACAGGTGGGTCTGACAGTTGGGCCTACACACCTCAAGTGACAGGTGCCCACAATACACCTCTGGGTGGGTGCACCTCTACGCCCACCTCTGGTTAATACATCCGGCAACGGGCTTGTGGTTGCCCACTGTTGTAAGTTCTACACCTGTGTGCTCACCTCACTCACTCACTCACTCACCTGCTGATAACAAACATCTTTGCCAGTATCAGAGCTGCATCCTTGATGTTATTCTTATAGTTGTGGTGGGTAATGAAAGACGAGTACAACAACAACACTGTACTCTAGTTCCCAAATCACAACACAACACAAAAGGCGATCAAATATAAACAGAATAACATAGGATTTAATTCTTTCACTGCTCCCAACACCTTACAGTTATCCTATTCCAGCTTATTTCAAAGCTATTATGCTACCTAAGTTTATTTGAGAGTGCAGCTTCATCTTAGGTACCTGTGTCACCCTTTCCCTCCCTCGATGTCACCTACAGTAGTTGACTAAGAGCCAGGTACCTATTTACTACTACAGTAGGTGAAGCAGGGCGTCAGGTGTCAGGAGACTCGGCCACGCATTTCACTTTGCCTGGAAATCAAACCCCGGTCATTTCTCTTGTGAGTCGAATGTTCTGCAACTACGGAAACGAAAGGCGTAGGTAGTGTTCTTCATGAATAAATAACACCTGCAGGGTGTGGGTTACCTCAGCAACACTGTGTGTGTACTCACCTAATTGTGGTTGCAGGGGTCGCTCCATAGCTCCTGGCACCGCCTCTTCACTGGTCGCTACTAGGTTCACTCCCTGCTCCATGAGCTTTATCATATCTTGTGTGTGTGTGTGTGTTTGTGTGTGTGTGTGTGTGTGTGTGTGTTGTGCCGCTCCGTTCCAGTCGCCGTACGCTGGTCAACATCAAGAATGCCACTACACCGTACTGTTGGCTGTAGATGTCTGTAGGGGTCGAGACTCAGCTCCTGGTACCGCCTGCTAGATTACAGTGATCATCATCGCTGACTACAGGTCTCTTGCAATTTATACCTACGGTTGTAGCTGTGTATTCAGTTTGCCTCCACCACCCTCATGGAAGTCACCCTGAGACTAAACAAGTACATCGTTTAGAAAACCACAAGTTGAAGAATGAGACACTTGTGCAACGTTTGGGAATCTTTATTGTGGAAACATTTCGCCCAGCCAGTGGCTTCTTCAGTCCAATATAGAGAAGAACAGGGGAAGATGAGGGACTAATTACCTTAAACTCCTCATCTTCCACCGTTCTTCTCTGTATTGGACTGAAAAAGCCACTCGCTGGGCGAAACGTTTTCACAATAAAGATTCCCAAACGTTGCACAAGTGTCTCATTCTTCAAGTACTGTCTTATATCACTATGGTTTATGTGTCTTCAGCTTCCACCTGTGTCCCCTTGATCCTGGTCCACCTGTGTCCCCTTGATCCTGGTCCACCTGTGTCCCCTTGATCCTGGTTCACCTGTGTCCCCTTGATCCTGGTCCACCTGTGTCCCCTTGATCCTGGTCCACCTGTGTCCCCTCGATCCTGGTCCACCTGTGTCCCCTTGATCCTGGTCCACCTGTGTCCCCTTGATCCTGGTCCACCTGTGTCCCCTTGATCCTGGTCCACCTGTGCCCCCTTGATCCTGGTCCTCTTTTATCCCTGTGTTTCATTTGTGTCTTCAGGTGTCACTTGTGTCCCCTGGTCCTCCTCATTCAAACATAAGTTCTCTGGCAACGGGACACAAAAGCACCAAAGGTACTGTATATTTCCCCAGTCATTCACATCACCTTGAAAACTCTCACCACTCTAACACTTCCTCGCCCCGAGGCTCCTCCTCGACCTGCTACTTTCACAAGGCCGGTGTAGCACATTGTCCTACTTACTGCTACCTCTCCTACAGCAATGTATTTATTTCTATTTGTCTGTCACACGCAGAAAGCTTGAGTTCTTCCCTCAGGTGAAGGGAAGGTTGGTTAGTTAATGAGGTTTAACGCCTATCTACTACACGAGGGTTATTTATACTGCGTGTCACCTGTACACCACCAGTCCAGGAATACAGTGGAACCCCGATGTTTGAACTTAATTGATTTCTACTTGCTGTTCGAACTGGAGGATTTTGAACTGACTCTTCCGAAGGTCTCTGAGCCAGGTCAGTGTCAGAGGTCACTTCAAAGCGCTTTTGAAACAGGGCTTTCATGTAAAATTATTTTTACAACTGAATCTTAAACAAGTCAGCGCATTCGGACTCCAGAAAAATGCTCAAAGACCGGGTCAGTTTTTTCCGAACAAAATTTTTTGGACTCCGGTTTGTTCGAGGTCCAGTACGTTCCATCACCGGGGTTCCACTGTACTTTTAATACCTAGGGAGTATACCTGGAGTATACCTGGAGAGGGTTTCACTGATCAACGCCCCCGCGGCCCGGTCTGTGACCAGGCCTCGCGGTTGATCAGGGCCTGATCAACCAGGCTGTTAAAATAAATTTTCGCCATATATACATACACTGAGAGACAAACACCTGACTGTGTATATGTCTATCCTGTAATACAAGGTTAATGTTTGGGACAGCAATCTGATAAGCTAGATATAAAATTCCGGAGTACAGAGGAAATCTTTATTTTACACGTTTCGATCACTGAGGTTTACTAAGTCTTGATAAAGTCCAGTCCTGCGAACTGGTAAGAAAGGCAGGCTCCTTACCCAGCTTTAAGAATAGATATGACAGGGTTCCCGAAGTTAAGAGGCAGAGGTGCTACTAGTACCCAGCGGAGACGTGGTATCAGGAACCCAAATGTGACGCCTGGAATCACATATGGCTAAGTACATATCGCTGAAGACAATAGACACAGCAAGTGTTCTTGGTATCCGGGAAAAAAATCACGGGGAAAAAGTTCACAATTTTGGCCAGGAAAAAGAGGCACATTTTATTTAAATGTATATGTTCAGTGTTAGGTTTATATTGTTATTTTTTTCCCCGTTAATTTTTTCCTGAATCCAAGTGTTGTTAAGGGTTGATAAAACTCTGTCCTGAGCGTAACCTTGTCCTGACACACTGTTGTTCTCTTCTCTAAATCTTCATATACAACCCTGTCAACATTCCTGCACATCCAACTTCCTGTTCAGGGTTCCTTGTCCAGGTATCCTTGCCCAGGTATCCTTGTTCAGGGATCCTTGACAGGTATCCTTGTCCAGGTATCCTTGACCAGGTATCCTTGTTCAGGGATCCTTGACAGGTATCCTTGTCCAGGTATCCTTGACCAGGTATCCTTGTTCAGGGATCCTTGACAGGTATCCTTGTGCAGGTATCCTTGACCAGGTATCCTTGTTCAGGGATCCTTGACAGGTATCCTTGTCCAGGTATCCTTGACCAGGTATCCTTGTCCAGGTATCCTTGACAGGTATCCTTGTCCAGGTATCCTTGCCCAGGTATCCTTGTTCAGGGATCCTTGACAGGTATCCTTATCCAGGTATCCTTGACCAGGTATCCTTGTTCAGGGATCCTTGACAGGTATCCTTGTCCAGGTATCCTTGACCAGGTATCCTTGTCCAGGTATCCTTGACAGGTATCCTTGTCCAGGTATCCTTGCTTTTAGGCGATTTTTTTTATATTCTTGGATATACATGCCAAGATTAGTATTCATACATGAGCTTATTTACAAGCTAAGACTGTTATCCTACCTCAGCTTATTTACAAGCTAAAACTGTTGTCCTACTTCAGCTTATTTACAAGCTAAAGCTGTTGTCCTACCTCAGCTTATTTACAAGCTAAAGCTGTTGTCCTACCTCAGCTTATTTACAAGCTAAAACTGTTGTCCTACTTCAGCTTATTTACAAGCTAAAGCTGTTGTCCTACCTCAGCTTATTTACAAGCTAAGACTGTTGTCCTACCTCAGCTTATTTACAAGCTAAGACTTATCTTACCTCAGCTTATTTACAAGCTCAGCCCTGTGTAAGGTATGCTACCATAGCCCAAGATGCGACCCACACCAACCCACTAACACCCAGGTACCTACTTACTGCTAGGTGAACAGTGACAGCAGGTGTAAGGTAACATGCCCTACTCTCCATTTTTTAACAGACAAAACACACACAAAAGAACCGTATGGGGCATATAAAGAGGGAGGAATAGAGGATGGGAGGGATGTAGGGAGGGAGGGAGAGAGAAAGAGAGAAAGCAGGAGGCGACTAACTTGTAGGGTAAGTGAAAACCTGTCTGGCTGGCTTGTGAGGAGTGGCTAGGTCCCTGCACAGCATTCACTATAATAATAATAATAATAATAATAATAATAATAATAATAATAATAATAATAATAATAATAATTATTATTATTATTATTATTATTATAATTAATAATATCTTTATTTCTACAAGTACATGTACAAGATATACAGACCATAGCTGACATCAGTGACATACTACTATATAGAAATCCCCTTGTTATGCAGAGGATTTCCCGCAAATTAGGTCAATTTTCTCCCAGGATGCGACCCACACCAGTCCACTAACACCCAGGCACCTATTTTACTGCTAGGTGAACAGTGACAGTAAGTGTCTTAAGGAAACACTTCCTAATGTTTACACCCGTACCGGGGATCGAACCATGGATCTCAGTGTGAGCTGGGTGCACTAGCGATCGAGCTACGGGACATCCACTCTACTCAGTGATTTGTGTTGCAGGGGGTCGGGGGTCGAGTCACGGCTCCTGATCTAACCTCTTAAATTATTTTAATGGGTATTTCTGACTTCTGCTTTCATTCGCTTTATTTCTTTTAAAGCTATTTATTCCTCTTTGCCTCCACTCCTTCTTTATTCAAGCCATTCCAGTTTTCAACCACTCTGTGGCTGCATAATTAATGCCTGACAGTTCTTGTTTACATGATAATTACATCTGCTTCAGTTCCCTCTTATTGTATTACTTTCAGTTCTTCATCTAGTTGGATTGTAAACCTTTGGAT